TTTGCACCTATTGCCAAATTTCCCGAGTGCCGAGCTTGTTGGGTAGGTTCAGATGGCATGAGGGCGGGCGTGTTGTTTTCCCATTGCACGGTGAGACGGTGTTGTGAGGCCGGGTGCTGTTTAGGTATTTGGAGCTCTTCACCATTCTGAAACAGCCAGGTATTGACAGACTTGGTCGTAATTCGGGATCTGCCTCGAAAGCCTGTTCCCCTAAACCACCCTGCTTCCAGAAAGCTTTCTCATCCCCTTGCCGTCATCCATTCGCTGCAGCCTAGCAAGAGCACCTTTTTAAAAACCTTTGTATTGAACTATAATACATGGACAGTAAAGTCTGCATGTTCCTGCTTGCTGTGAGGTCATGGTGCCAGCGCCCAGATCAAGAAACAGTAGTTTACCAGGATCCTTTTTGTGTCTCCCACTGGAGATTACGCTTTGAAAAGCACTGCTAGAAGATGTACAATCAGTTGGTCATGGGTATATGGCAAGGCATTATGGAAGACAGGAAATTACAGTAGTCTCCCCTCATTCGTGGTTTTGCCTTTGTGGTTTCAGTTACCTTGGTGAGTGGCAGTCTGAATATATCCAAAGGAAAATTCCATAATCAATCAATAACTAAGTTTTAAATTGCACTCTGTTCTGAGTAGTGTGACGAAATCTCGCACTGTTCCCCTCCATGCCACATGGGCTGTGAGTCGCCTCTTTCTCTGGCGTCTCCACGCTGTAGATGCTCCCTGACTGTTAGTCACTCAGTAGCCATCCCAGTTATCAGATCGACTTTTGTGTGTGGCAGTGCCAGTGTTCAAGGAGCTCTTACTTTACTTAATACCGACCCACAGTGCAAGAGGTGGCGAGTGGTGCTGGCGCTTCAGATGCCAAAGGGAAGCTGCAGAGCACCTCCTTGAAGTGGAACAGTGAGTGTTCTCAATAAGGAAAGAAAACGCTCACGCCGAGGCTGATAACATCTATGGTAAGAATGAATTTTGGGGGAACTTGTAGAGAAGGAAAACTAAATTTGTGCTAGTTTTGCTGTTGTACCTTACACTACAAAAGTTAAAGCCACAGTGGATGATAAACAATTAAGATGCAAAAGGCATTAAATTTGTAGGTGGAAGACATGGTATGGTCAAGGCTCAGTGATGCTCCTTCTGATGTGTCATCAGAAGGGCAAACATTTCCCTCACTTCATCTCATCAGGGATGCATTGTGTCTGCTCACATCATCACAAGAAGAAAGATGAGTGCAGTACAATAAGATATTTTGATGTTCTGACCAGTGTGGCTCAGTTGGCTGGCCATCATCTCACACAGTGAAAGGTCGCTGGTTCGATTCCAGGTCAGGGCACATGCCTGGGTTGTGGGCCAGGTCCCTGGTTGGGGTATGTGCAAAAGGCAACCGATCGATGTTTCTTTCCCTGTCTTTCTCTCTGCCTTCCCCTTTCTCTAATAAACAAACAACAAATGAAGGAGAGAATCCTAGAAGCAGCAAGAGATAAGGGGACAGTCACCTACAAAGGAGTTCCCATCAGACTGTCAGCAGATTTCTCATAAGAGACCTTACAGGCAAGAAGGGGCTGGAAAGAAGTATTCCAAGTCATGAAATCCAAACACCTACATATAAGATTGCTCTATCCAGCAAAGTTTTCATTTAGAATGGAAGGGCAGATAAAGTGCTTCTCAGATAAGATCAAATCCAAGGAGTTCATCATCACCAACTCCTTATTATATGAAATGTTAAAGGGACTTATCTAAGAAAAGATAAAAAATATGAACAGTGAAAGGACAGCAAACTCACAGTTATTAGCAACCGCATCTAAAACGAAAGCAAATTAAGAGGACAGCAAGATCAGGAGCAGAACCATAGAAATGAAGATCACATGGAGGGTTAGCAACAGGGGAGTGGGAGAAGGAGAGGGGGGGAGAAGGTACAGAATATAAGTAGCATAGACAGTAGAGAGAAAATAGTTAGGGGGAGGGTAAGAATAGTATGGGAAATATAGAATCTAAACTTGAGACACATGGTCATAAACTAAAGAGGGGGAATGGTGGGGGAGGGGGTGTGCAAGGTGGAGGGGAATGAAGAGGAGAAATAGAACAACTGTAATGGCATAATCAATAAAACCTGTTTAAAAAAACAAATAAAAATTTTAAAGATTTTATTTATTTATCTTTAGAGAGGAAGGGAAGGAGAGAGGGAGAGAAATATCAACATATGGTTGCCTCTCATGTGTCCCCTGCTGGGAACTGGCCTGCAACCCAGGCATGTGCCCTGACTGGGAATTGAACCGTGATCGTTTGGTTCGCAGGCCCGAGCTCAATTCACTGAGCTACACCAGCCAGGGATAAAATCTTTAAAAGATATTGAGACACCACATTCACATAACTTTTATTACAATGCATTTATAATTGTTATACTTCTTTATTAGTTATTGTTAATCCCTACTGTGCCTGATTTATAAATTCAACTTTATCATAGGTACATAGGTACAGGCAAAACTAGTATATGTAGGGTTTGGTATTATTCATGGTATCGGGCACCCAGTGGGGGTTTTGAAACTTCTTTCCTGTGAATAACAGGTGACTACTGTACCCCACTAAGAGAAACTGCTGCGGCCTCTCCTTCATTTATTTTTCCTTTTTTTTCATTAAGGTAATGTGAATAGGCGGAGAAATATTCTTTATGGAAAGATTCATTAGATAAGAATAATTACAGTGGATTGAGCGCGGGCCTGCGAACCAGACAGTCGCGGTTCGATTCCCAGTCAGGGCACATGCCTGGGTTGCAGGTCTGTTCCCTGCAGGCCAGTTCCCAGCAGGGGACGCACAAAAGGCAACCATACATGGATGTTTCTCTCCCTCTCTCCTTCCCTTTCCCTCTACAGATAAATAAATAAAATCTTAAAAAACAAAACAAAACAAAACAAAAAGAATAATTAGCCCTGGCTGGTGTAGCTCAGTGGATTGAGCACGGGCTGTGAACTAAAGGGTCACCAGTTCGATTCCCAGTCAGGGCACATGCCTGGCTTGCGGGCCAGATCCCCAGTGGGAGCCACGTGAGAGGCAACCACACATTGATGTTTCTCTCTCTCTCCCCCCTCCCCCCTCTCTCTAAAGATAAATAAATAAAATATTTTTTAAAAAGATAAGAATAATTACATTGGGCTTTTTGGAGAACAGTGTTAGGCTTTTGTCTTTTTCTTGCTTCAAACCCATCTCTTTCAGTTGTGGCTTTGAGTTAACTTTTCATTACACTCAGTGATCACTGTTGTTTGTTGTTGTTGTTTAAATCACTGAAGAGCGTGAAGTCAGGTGAATGCAAAGTTGCATGAATACTTACCTTGAAATTTCCCTGATTCGAATTGCCTAGACTGTGAATTAGTCATTGGAATGGATTTTTCTCAGATGCTGAGTGTTTTGGATTGGAGTTGGGTCCCTGGAGCACTGCATTCATTGGAAGGATTTGGGAGGAGCCTGGTCACAACAGGAAACTGTGCTCTTGGAGATCAGAGATTTTGGTCAAGGGCAAAAGAGACTGGACTGGTGTGTTGAGTCCCAGATATTTACCTTGCATGGTCTGAAATGATACTTAATGCTACTTCTTGACCCGTGAACTTAGCATTCTTCTCTAGGACCAGAGTATCTGGGCTGTGAGATTGGAAGCAGTACAAATACAGCTTAAAAAGTGAAACCAGTAGTCTCCCCTTCCTGCACCCTCCGCTTCTCACTTCCAGCATCGGACAAAGTTCACCTGGGTTGTGAAAGTGTCAGGGGCGGCAGTAGCCATTTCAGCCGACACACTGAACTGCAGGTGGAGGGGGGAGCCCAGTCAGTGAGGCAAACAGATGCCCCTAAATGTGTAAGCAGGGCTGAGCTGTGGGAGGGAAATAGAGAACTTTATCATGAGTAGTGTTATGTACAGGGCTGATGATCAGTTTAATGTGTATATTATTTAATGTTTAAGAGAAGGGTATCCAGCATGCTAATGAGTAACAATGTAAGTACCTATCTAAGACTATGAGTCCATTTTGGGAAAGAGAAGATTTGAGGAAAATGGAGATTGGATTGAGGTAGAGAAGGGAATTTGGATGCAGAAGGTCTAAACATACCTTTCTCTTAGCTACTCTGTAAGTTGCCCTAATATCTCAGAAAATGGTTGCAATGATATTATTGTTTTTTTATTTGCTGAAGAAAATTTAAAATTCCCATTTAAATATAAGTCAACTTGGAGCCATACAGTGTACAATAGTTGTGGCTTTGAAATATGTCACTACTTTATGACATTTTATCATGTTTGGGTTATTAAGGGGAGGAACAGGACAAATGGCATTTTTACTTTTTAAAAGTCTTAAAATATTTTCTGTTAAGATAACATGAGTTATATCGATTGGAGTGAACATACGTCGTTAAAACTTCCAAAGGAACTTTTGCTGTAGTTGTAGGGGAGGGAAAAGTTTCCCCTCATTTCTACGTATAGTTCTTTTGGTTGGTCCAGTGAGTAAATTGACATGAGACAGATTTAACAGTCGAAACGAACCAGATTTATTATGTATGTACATATTAGGGTTCTGTAAGAATATGGGGCTGAGGACAAATTAGGCAGTTGAGGCTTATATGCCATCATGAGCTAAGAAGAGAGTTGTTTGGACTTCAAAGAGAAGGTAGTTAATTCACAGGCAGATGAGAAGCAGCAAAACACGGGGTAACAAACTCTTCTCGGCCGCCCAGAAACAGTGGGACACTGAGGGGACTCCAATGGACTTTGCTAGGTTTCTCCCCGTCTGCCACACTTAGTGCATAGCATGTTAGGGTGAAGCTCCCTTCCTCTAAGCAGGGTGTTCTGTCTGAATCCCTTCTAGAAAATAACCAACTTAAAATAATCAGTATCTCAAAAAGGCATGCACTAGGGTAGCAAACTCTTTTCCCCCTTGTAGTAAATGAGAGGAAGAGAAAGTGTGTGTGTGTGTGTGTGTGTGTGTGTGTGTGCGTGCGTGCGTGTGTGCGTGTATGTATGTACGTACACCGGCATCCTCTGGGCCAGAGTACATGCACAAAGAAGCATACTTTTTGTTGCAGTAGATTCAGGTCATAATTTTAATGTGAATATACAGTGGCATTAAATGGGTCAAAAAGTTATATTGGGGATTTGGCAGTGTAAGACCTGTCTGAGGTACAAAGATGAAGGTCAAGACCTAGTTTTGGTACTCAAAGAGTTTATGATCTAGTTAGGATCTTAAGACACGGACAGTACTCTTTTGCACAAGCAGTTATGCATTGTGTTAAAAGTGTGACTTAAAAAAATTATAGAGGAATTCAAGAGAGAAAAAGATCTGTCAGCCCAGGAAGGCCTCCTGGGGAAGATGGAATGAGGACCGAGGAAGTGGTTGTTGCTGCCCGGTTCCCAGGCCAGCAGCAGGGGCACCCTGGGAACTCAGAAGTGCAAATTCTGAGTCTCCACCCCAGATGTGCTGAATCATAAGCCCTGGGGCAGGCCTAGCAATTCCTGTTTATAAGCAAGTCAGAGTTTTAGCCCTGCTCTACCAAGGAAATGGTGGCTCTGAGGTGTGCCGACTGAGTTTAGGGAGGAGCAGTGGCTGGCACGGAGTGCGTGTTCAGGTGAAGACGGCCGTGATGGGGGAAGCACACAGGAGGGTTTAGCGTTCCCTGTGCGCTGGGTGTGTGTTTGAGGAAACTCGTTCCCCAGTGCAGTCTGGTCCTGATGTCGTCAGATGTCTGTCGCACCCATGTTGTCATTTTCACCTCCTACTGTCCTGATCATTTAGAATGTTTGCATCATCTGGATAGGGAGTAGAATTTGTATTTGATAACAGTATTTGAAATCTTTGGAAAATATAAAATACCAGAAATTTTTAACAGCTTCGTGGATAACTACTAGGTAAATGTATATACAGTCTACACGGTTTAAAGAGGGTTTCATATCCTTTCATCAAGTCCTAAGTAAATATCTTCTAGAGACTGAAGTTTTGAAACAGAAGTTTAGTCTTATACCTAAAAATTAGGATGTGTTCCCTCTAGAGTTTTCTCTACGTAGCTGATAAAATTCAGTTATTTTGGCATTTTTAAAGATCCCATCAACATTGACCTGTACTTTTGTCTCTCCTGTACGTGAAGACAAGGTGAGCCCTAGCTGAATCAGAGGTGCCCATCTGGGGCTTCACTTGGGCCAGGTGTGTTTAGGTGGGCCTGGTGGTGGTGAAAGGCTTTGCTTTTGGCCTTTGCATGCCTTTGTGCATGGAGCCGCCTTGTACCGAACACAAAAACGTCACAGTACTTGCAGGAGTGACCTCTGGTTCTCTGTGAAAGACAGTTGAAGGGAGAAAAGAAGCATCCATGGCTGTGCTGTGGCCATGCAGTTAAGCTTTAAGTTTAAAATGTGTTTTCTCTTTTCTGGGAAAATGAACTCATTTTTTCCTAATCTGGTTTTATGTTCGCACTGTGCATATAGCATGTTCCACAGAGAAGTCTGGTCTCTGTCGTAGGTGTGCTGTACTTTGTATTTCTTAGAAGAGGATATATTTAAGATCTTTTGGGGGTTTGTTAAAGAGGAACTTTAGGGTGACATACATAGTAAAGTCTTAAGGTAACAATGAAGACTTCTGCCATGGTAGTATGAGATTTTTCTCACACTTGTGTAGTGAAGTATGTGGCTGCCATGTATGAAGATGCACTTATAATCTTCTGAAACTAAATACCCAGCCAAGTTCATCAGACATTAAGGGTCTGATCATGTTTTCTTCAGCCACATTCAAGGGTAAGCAAGAGGGAAGGAATTGGGACAGTCCTTTAGTTACTGTGTCAAGATTCGACCTGCATTTTTAGGGACCTGTGCTTTATTTCTTCTAAAAGAAGAATTTTTACCTTGAACTCACAGTGCTGTAGAAATGTTATTCCATAACATTATTCCTATTTTACAGATGAAGAATGTCAGTGTCAAAAGTAAGAACCGAGCTGCTTCTGTCCTTGGGTTTTGAGAGGTCAGGGCTCTCTTGGCTTGTACAATGCCCGGGCTTCAGGAATTCAGTGTGAGAGTGTGGAGGATTTGTGGCTTCTCTATATTATTCTTTTTCTTCTATGTATATGTATTTATATAGCAGTTTAACGTATGCATTTGATGTTAAGGCAAGGATGTGTCCCTACTCTCCCCGTGCACATCATTTTCTGTACTGTAAGCCCTACATTTGTCTGTGGTGTGCAACCATCCTCACTTGCCATAGGCAGAATTTTGCAAGGTTTCAGAGTAAGACCTGTCAGCTGACGCTTGCTCACATGAGAGCCATTAAGAGGGTGGTGTGGCCAATGTCAGAACAACCTTGCAGCTGAAGGCAAGCCACTGTGTTTGCTCAGAGCGGTGTGAATAGGTCTTGTGACCCATTACTTGACCGCCACATAGTTTCTAACAGAGGAGCTCAGATGGAGTGAGTCAGTCCAAGCTGCTCAACCTGTTGAGTGCTTTTCTTTTGCCAACAGGAGCACAAGCTTAGGAACGAAAGTGGGAAGTGGGATTTGGACTTGTCTTGTTTATAATGGGTTTGCTGAGAGCATGTTTTATAACATGATGGATGCATCTGACTTCCTAAATCGTCTGGCGGGCTTAATTTACATAACAAATGAATGTTCCTTTTTTTTTTTTCTTAAGAAAAAAACTTGAAAGAGGAAATTCGTAGGCTGCTGCCAAGTAGCTTCTCTCAACCTATTGTATAGGGATTGCAATGATCATTTAGGGCGGCTGATCACTGCGGAATATTCCTCAAACAACAAAGGCTCATCAACACTTGTGTCCAAGTCCATGTCGATAGTCAGAATAAACCGGAAGAAGGTCAAACTGCTTAGGAGATGTGTGGCGGCACAGCAAAGACCCCAAACCGGCCTGGGGCCCTGCAGAAGTCAACCGGTTGTGTGAGTGATGCTGTTTCTGGTGCTGGGAGGACTTACAAGACACTTTTATGCACAAAGATTAAAAAATGTGCCAGGGTAGGAAGGGGCACCAAGCACATGGAACTGGACAACAGGTTTGAAATTTTAGTTCTTTTTCAAAATCTAAGTCAAATTTTAATTTAATTCTCTGTGTACCAAGCAGATGAAGTTGTATTGATCTGAAAGCTGTTTTGTCCCAAGAGTGTTTCTCAGTGGGAGACTTGGGCCGGTTGGGGGGTGTGCAGAAACAAGTTCTTTTCTTTGTAGACAAGAGGCAGGCATGGGTATTTTCCCTGTGACTATTTTTTCTGTTGCCCATCTGCTTTATTATTAACTTTTCATTACACCTGCTCCTGGAGCCAGCTTACATCCTTGTCCTGCGTTGCAGCTTGAACTATACTGTTCACAGCCTAGTTCTTATCAAGAAAGAATCACAGACCTGAAGTTCCACCACAGTTGGTACGTGGGCGCCAGAGTGGGAATTCTCCCCTATGGTTTGAATGGCCTGTGGATGGTTGTGCTTTTCCAGTAGGAGACACGGTGAGCCCATTCTTCCTCTCACGGGAAATCCTCTTCATGGGAAGGATGGTATTTTGATGAGCTATTTTAATTATAGCACTAATCTAAAAAGAATAACGTATTTGCTGTAGTCTTTTAGGTTGAATATTTCATTCATTTTAGAAGAATTCATTCATTTTATTGGTGGTAGCTCTTAATTTAAACATTCTTTGTAAAGAATTTTATTACCTATCAATGACAAGGAAAAAGCCTTTGAAAATTCCATTTCATTCCAAAATATTGTATAGATAGATAGTAAAGAAAATCATAAATCTGTTTCTTAGTTGGTTGAAAATATAGTTTCAGGATATAGTTTCTGTCCTATAAAAACTTTGTTTCTTCAGTACGAATTTAACAAATCAGTATACATTCCACTCCGGTGTAAGAACCCAGTAGTTTGGAGAGTTTGGGAGAGTTGTGGAAATCATTTTATGGGCGTTGGGTCACATGCTCTCTACTCAATTAAAGAGACACATTTGTAGAGGAAGAGGTAATGGATGATGTGGTACATTTAAAAATATACTTGAGTGTCTGTCTAGATAAGAGCTTCACTTTTATCCTCTCCGTTTTTCTGTTTCTCATTGAGAAAGGACAGCGGAGGGAAAAGAAAGCGAAGGATTGACCCTCAGCGTGTCTGGGTCTTGGTCCGGGTTCTGCCCTCAGTCCCCCGGCTCTGCTGCCCGGGAGCCTTGTAACGCTGGGTCAGTTTCCTGGCTTTTGTGCGTCCCACTCTCAGCTGTAGTCGTTCAGATTATTTAAAACATTCTGTCTTCCTCTGAGAGTCTAAGATGCAGGCAGCATCAGGACCTTCTGTATTCCCTGTTTTTGTTATTTGTACACTTCTAGATTCTCCAGATAGGCATTTGAGGGGGAGGGGTGGCATCCGCATAGGAATATGCAGGGCCATCCCAAATTATTTTAAAAACTTACAAAGTTTTCGGTACGTACGTCTGCTCCTCACTTTCAGTGAACTTGCTATTCTTTGGTGGATTTTAATCATTCCCATTTAAACAACACTTTAACCTTAACAAAGCACATTCATATCTACTATCTTCCTCCCTGGTTTGAACTTTTTTTAGATTTACTTCTCTGATGCTTACTTTTTTTTAGAATTCTGCTCAGTGATGACATACACGTGTCATTTAATTGGAATTCATCTCTAGTCAGACCAGTTGTCGTGGTCGACCTCATCTACTTTCTCTTCCCCTTCCTGCAGGCTCAAAATCGTATTCTGTTTTTGCAGTGTTGTGTTTGGTTTCCTGCACTTCTTCACCACGTGGGCCAGTCTTGAGGGCACAGTGAATTATTGACAGGAGCTGCACTATGAGGCTCCGGCTCCAGAGTGCTCACAGAGTTACCTGTTTGTCCAAGTCAGGTGGCCATCAGCTAGGTGTGACTTCCACTCCTTTGATCTTAGGTATCTTAAATCAGTAGTCTTAGGTGGTTGTCTTAGCACTAAGTATATTTTCAATCCACAGTTTGGAATCTTGTAGGTGGTGGGTTGACTTAAGCTGTACTTAGAAGCAGATTTTCCACTGCAGTGGGGGTGGCCCCCCCCCCTAATTCTGCCTTGTTCAGAGGGTAACTGTAGTTGTTCAGAGGTTAACTGTAGTTTTTCTTCCCCTTTCCTAATGCTTTTCCAATTATTCAAAGGTGAGGATGAAGATTCCACAAATACAGTGGATTCAAGTTGGTTGGATACCTAATAATTGGCCACAGTGTAAAATTGACACAGTTCAGGGGAGAAAGAAACATTTTTATCTTCCCAGTTATGGTTCATGTGAAATGAAACATTTCAGGAAAGAAATTTGTTCTCTGTATGTTCACTTCCCTTCTCAATCTCTAGAATGACAGATTTGGGGTTGAGTTCATTTCACAAAGTAACAATCAACAAAACCTAAAGAGCTTGATGAGGCATCTTAAATGGTTTTTCAATAAAATATTCCTTGCTAAAACTCAACTGAGATCTCATAACTCTGAAATTTGATGCTGGGTGTATCGTATAGTCTTCAAAGAATTGTTTTCAGTTTTCTTTCTTAAAGTATCGGCGATAGCAAAGCTACTTAACAACTGGGTTTTTCAGATTTTCCCAACAAATTAGATGAATACCCAGGGCTGTGTGTATGAGGACCATGGGAGTACCTGCCAAGCTGATCTGTGGCCCTTGTTCCTCTTACGGCAACACAGAATTTGACAGGCTTGCCTTAAAGAAGCACAACCTCCACACACCAAAGAGGAACCGAAACAACACTTCAGAGTTAATTGCGCTTTAAGTTTCACATCTTGAAATTTGGATTCGGAAGAAATTCTTTGTACTGCTTTGGGCCCCCAGAATGGAAGGAGCAGAATACTTAGTGAATTAATTTATCCAATTTACCCACAAATTGGATGAACTAACTCTACTAAAAAAAAAAAAAAAAAAAAAAAAAAAAGGCTGCAGATTGTGGTAGTTGCTTAATGAGAAAATAAGCATGGAAACCAGGATCCATCTTCCCCACAGTGGACTGCTTCACAGAGATAAGCCAAATGTGATTTTACTCCTGGTCTTTACTTGTCGTAGCTAGGGTTTCTGGCTAGGAAATACAGAAATAGCCACAGATTTGGAGGGAGCATGTGCTAAGGAACAGACTGAAAAATTCTGAAGATTTTAGTCAAGGGCTATTAAAAGATCTAATGCAGATTGTAGAAGTGGGGAGAGTTTCTCTTGTGTTCTCCACTTAGAAACACTGTGTGAAAAACACTCCGCTGTGATACTCCTTCCAAGAAGTAGCTGTTGGACAGGTTGAATGAAGTGGTCAGGAAGGAAAAATAAACCCTGGTCAGCTGATGGTCTCGTGCTTCCTCACAGGCTTCACAGGGAGTTTGTAAGTTGCTGGCCGTGGCTCTTTCAGATACACTGGGTATCACTGTCACGGGCTCTTCCACCCTTTCTGCATTCTTTCCCTTTTCACTGATTTTAGTGGCCATGAGGAATTTTCTTCGGCCAGTTAAAAAAGGCTCTTTCTACCAGTTGATAGTTGGGATTTAGAGATGTAATTCGAGAGTGACTGACTAACTGAATGAAGGAATGCAGTGGTAACTTAGTATTGTTGCAAACTAGTAAGGGATTTAGGTTAAAAGAACATCCATCTCTTCCCTCTGAGGCCGCATCTCTAACTGGGAATGAATCCGAGCAGTCTCATTACAGGGATTTTGAAGGTGGTGTGAACTCGCTTCATAGGAACTGACAACTGACATCAACTTTTGTCTGGGTCTTATTTTAAGAATTGATGGTGTAACAGGGTAAAGCCCTTGTCATTAGTCACCGTAACTAATTGTTTCCAGAATGACAGTGTTCCAGACGGAAGACAAGGTTACTCCAGCCCTGGGGTCCACAGGCCAGTCACTGGGCAGCTTCTGAGGCCTTTCCCCCCGGCATTGCAGCCTGGCTGTGTACTGGACTGGAGGACCCTCTCAACGAGCCTCCAGTTCCTGGGGCTCCTGTTGTGACTCCGGCTGTGAGTCAGCCTGTGGCTCAGCCTTATCCTCCTATTGTTATAGTAACAAAAGGTACGTAACCTCTGAACAGTGATGTGGCAAGCCCTGGTGGGAATTGGTGAGAGCAGTAATAACCTGTGACCCATCTAAGATTATAGTTAAACTCCCAGTCAAAACTCAACAAAGGGAATCCAGCCTGTGGTCTCTAGAAACACCAAGGTTCCTGGCATCTATCTGTCTTCTCCCTTTATGGGCTACAAGTTGTATGAAATGTTGAATATCAGGTACCCTATTCATCCATTAATGCTTATATATCAAAGGGTTGAATCCTTCTCTTATCTATTTAGAAAGTTTTAAAAAACCCAATTTTTAGGTCTTCGCAGAACAGATGTGAACTCACTACATCATTTCCTTTTACTTTTGTGCCTTCCCCAGCCCAAAGGCCTGGGAAGAAAGAGGGGGAGAGGGGGAGGACGGGAGGAGGGAGGCGAGGGAGGGAGGGAGGAAGAGCGAACTTAGTTCAGCTAGAGTAGTTTTCCCACTTACTAGTTTATTTTGTCAAGTTCAACTCTCACAAATGGGACCCTATGCCAGATATGGTAGAATCATCTTTGACCAAGGGAGATACACTGTCTTCATGCTCTCGTGATCTGAGGGGTCATCTCTGCCTTGAGCTCACTGTGTCTTTGGAAACATTCCCTCAGGTGTCTATTTGTTTTCTCTTCTTAAAAAATAACACACACACACAGAAGTGGTGGATTGGGTCACTGATTCCCAAATATGAGAAGTGTTTTTAAAAATGTAGGTTCCTGAGTGTGAAGTGAATTCAGATCCATTTTATCAAATTCTGGGGGGCTGGATCCTAGAAGCTTTGTTGATTGAAAAAACAAGCAAAAAATCAAGCAAACAAAGTTTCTAGAGTAATTTCAGTGCAGTTAAGTCTGAGAACCTCCAGGTAGGTGGTGTCTGAGGTCCTTAGTAGCTCTAATACGATTGTCTGTTACTGACCTATGAGACCCAACGATGTGAGAAAAATAGGAAGACCTTGAGTAATCAAGGG